TAGTTGGCCTATAGCCTATTTTCTTTTTAAAGCGTCAAACAGGCAAATCGTTGTAAAGGTTTGATACACCCTCTGTGCATACATAGTGCAATTCAGCTACTTTGACGATATAATAATTTTCGCTCATTTTTTTTTAAAGTTTTGGTGGTTGTTTTAGTATCTTTGAGCTCATAGTACTGTTTCATTGTTGAACCTATAGTACACCTTTAGAATCTTAGAGATTATCGAGTAATGTTTATAGTATCTTTGATGAACTCTGTATTTAAAAGTAAATCTCAATTACTTTCCTTTTTATCATAGGAGAAGTCAGGAAATAGAAATTTACTCAAACTATAAACAGTAAGTTATTTCAATCTATGAGATGAAACGGACAATTAATGTTATAGTGTCAATAGCCTAGAATAATTATATCTACCACAAATTTTCTTATAAAAAGCAATGTTATCGGTTGTTTGATATAGGTTTAAGCCTGAGGGAAACAGGCATTAGGTTGTCTATGTGAACTTTCCGACTTAGGATATTTCGGCCTAGGCCGTTTAAGCCAGTAGACATTTCGGCCTAGGACGTTACGGCTATATATTTGTCGCAGTAATAAACAAACAAAAAAACACAGAAAAAATCTGTAGGAGAAAACAAACAAATACATCTGTCCGAAACGAACTCTTTCTTTTAAAACAAAAGTGACCGAAAAGTCCTAGGATGAGATGTCCTAGACCGAAATGTCCTAGTCTGAAATGCTCACTGGCCGAAAGGTCGTACATTCGAACATTCCACAAGACAGCATTTCTCTCATAGATGATGTTAGTGTCGAGCACGAATAGTTGTATGGACACCTTTACACAAATTCAAATCAGTGCTATTGTAACATGGTTACAATGAAATGAAATGGGGTTTAACGTCCTACTGTTTTGCTCCGAACTGGGCTAATGAAGACGGGCATACGCTATACAGTGTGCTAGGAGGGACATTTGCCTACTCTTATATCGAATTCCATCTGTCAAGGGATCTTTTACGTGCACGTCAATGTGTACGGGCCTTCGGTTTTTCGTCTCATCCGAATGACTAGCCAGCTGTCCTTGCCAGGCCCTCCGTCCTGCATCGCTGACAAGGGGAACCAAACATGGTTACAATAAACAAGTGTTGGTTATTAGAATCATATACAGTATTTTACCACTTAATAGTAAAGGGTGTTGATCTGCTTTTGAACCTGTGACGCCAGGAACTCGCCGTAGTAGACCGTTTCATTGGCTAATTCGTTACATCAACCAGAACGCGGTTTACATAACAACTCTTCTAGCCTTGTACGTAATTTTATGTGGTGAGAGAGAGAGAGAGAGAGAGAGAGAGAGAGACTAACATGTGGCTCAATTTTATTTCAATAATTCGCATGCGTATAGGGGTCTTTAGCAGTGGGAGGAAACCGGAAGACCCGGAAAACAACCACGAGGCTGGACAGGCGACCATACTCCTTGTCACGTACAACCGGGAATGTGGTAAACGGACATCATGGCAAAAATATGTCCGTGCAAAATGTCCTTTATAGTAAACTGCAATGAAACTGCATGGCGAATGTCCGTCTGCATTAGCCCAGCTGATACCAAAAGTAAAACAAACCCATTTCATTTTGGACACATATTGGTAAAGTACGAAAAGAATATCGATGCGTTCACAAAAGGTCATGTTCAATAAAATTCTTATACGAAGACTTTACTAGTTTTATCTAATTCGGTAAAAAAAAAACGTCTTCTTCTTAAAATTTAACCGAAAAAATTGGCTTGTATACATGAACCTATAAATTACTATAATTTGTTGAACAAAAACAAACTTATAATGACCATTCTAGGGTATTGGGCTGGGTAAAATATCGCTATAAATCGATAGTATCGATTGGACGGCACAGAAAAGCACCATCGATAGCGGTGGGTTACTATCGATTATCGCTCTTCGTCTATTTTTCTTGCGTCTGAAATGTCAATGTTTTCTTTCAGTTAAACTTAAACATAATACACCGCTCACTTTAATTACTATCAAGTATCAATGTAACACATAACAAAATTGTGACTGCTTATTGAACAGCCGTTTTCATAAATTCACTCTCATTGAAACGTTACTTTAGTTTTGAAGAAATTATTGTTGAATATCGCTAAATCGGAGATACCCGGATGTGTAAATAAAGTTAGAGTTATTTCCCTTTGTAAGCTTCAGAATTCGTCTGCCATATTGATATTTTCGCGCGCACGTACGCAATGTTTTGAATCGGAACAAGTTCATTTTGGTCCCTTAACATAATTATTTACGATATTTCTTCAGTCGGAACCACGGCTGCATTATTTTAATAATAAACAACATCAATTTACGTATATATACGTAATATAACAAGTTTTATTAATGTTTTCCAAATAAATCTCCTTAGACAGGAGCAAACGATCTTTCGCAACTTCGTATGGTTTTGAACTTTGAACTTACACTGTATCCAGTCTTGATGACGACCGTGAAAATAAGTTTGTTTTCGATACTATCGATTATCGACCGACAATTCATTGCCGATTATCGATAGTAAAAATCACTATCGATACCCAGCCCTAATTGGAATGCGAATAATAAGGTATATTTATATATTATATTAGAGTAATTAGTGAATGAATAATGCAGTGTGTATATCTATTGATATTTACAAACTGTAGTATAATTATTAACAGGTAATTGGTATAGATTTGTATCCAATGTAGTTAACATTAGTTTTCGTCATATTCTTCTTATCTTTCATTTAATTTTAAATTGGATTTTGTGAAGAAAATAATCTAAATCCAAAACTTCCAACTTAAAACCAGTAGTTATCTCTCTAGAAATTTTTAAAGTTGAAATGTTAGCAAGGAAGGAATTATGGTAGGGATAAAAAAAATGGCTTTGAAAGAAGAGTTAGACAATAAAAAAATATTGTTTGATCTCGGCATGTTATCTAGACTACATTTTGGCTATTGAAAGACATTATTGACTCGAAAGTTAATAATAATCATTGAAAACGGGATCAGAAATCGATTATTGAACCATGTGAAATAAAAATGTCCGTACTCGACATTAACAGGCATTCTTTAACTCCACTGGAATAATTTTCCATTTTCCATTTATTAAAAACCTGACCAGTTGTTCTCGTATTTAGTTCCAGCCCCCGTATAGTATAGAGACTGATTATTAGACAGAGATTGTCCCTATATTAATATTCCCCTGTGATCATCATGAAGTAGTATTTGTCCAATTTACAAACTAGCAAAGTGTTGTTCACGAGTTAGATGGAATTTTGTTGGGTTTTTTTTTTTTAATCATTACAGAACCATTCCACGTTCCACAGAACATGTGATTTTTAAAGATTTATTATTTCCCTAAGACGACCTGTTGCCATTTATATTGAATCATATAAAACGAGTGGGTTGGATGGCCGAATGATTAGCACGTGCGCGCTGTATCATGTGGTCTGTCATTGAGTCAACTGGCGTGGTTTCGATTCCCAGTTGTACGTGACAAGGAGTAGGGTCACCTGTCCAACCTCGTGGGTTTTCTCCGGCAGTTTCCTGCCACTGCTAAAGAACAATGTGTAAGTCCCGAAATGATCTAGTTTGTGTCGAGTTGCCGTTAAACCCCATCTCTCTCTCTCTCTCTCTCTCTCTCTCTCTCTCTCTCTCTCTCTTTATATATAAAACGGGGGTTTATTGTAAATCCTTGATAAAATCTGAAATCAGAATTTCAATCCAGCCGATAGAAAGCTCCTCAGAGACGTCATATTTAAATAATAAAGCATGATATTTAAGAAGTAAATTGAAGGACGGCCACTTTGTCTGACTGGTTCGGGGTTGTGTTTATGACAAAGCTAGTGAACAACGATATCAAAGTGCTCATTCAAGTGTTTTAGTATTGTCTTAAATCACTCTTTGAGTTCCAATTGGTCTGGAATTCTTTATGAACTAAACTGATCCAGCAATTTCTTATTGATTATTACCTATTATATGAGAAAAGATTGAATAATGCATTTCGTTATGAAGCTTTTTACACTAAAAGTCTTTTTTTTCAGTCTGGGGTTAAAATGAATAATTATAGAAAATGGAAAAAGTAAGAGTTATGAATAACAATGAAAAAGATTTCTCACTGGGTTTAGTTAAACGACTTGACCAGTTCACATTTCTGCTTGGAATCATTTTGCTGTAAGTTTTTAGGCATTTACCTATTTCAGATAAAAGAATTCTTAATTTAGAAATTGCGAAAAATCTGATCATTTATTTCTTCCCAATGTTCCCCAGAAAGATGTAATTTAAAGGGATTACTGTATACCCCTTTAGCACTTACACCGCCCGAACCGCCTCTACTAGGGTTCTTTAGAATACCTTGAGCGGTTTGGTCCGATCTAAGAAACCGCAGTTTAGGACTGTTTCGGTCTGTTCAGGGATGTACCGGTATTAATATAACGCTTGTCTCTAATTGTTTTCAAGAAACCGGGGTAGTCAATATTAACATGTGCCAATTGGTACAAAAGGCATATATCACAGGCGACTGTTACTTTATTGGAACTATAGATAAGTCGGTGGAGTGGGGGGGGGGGGGGTACGTCGTTTACACCGGACGTAGAAATACAAACAAGCTACCTGCAGAATTGGCGCCTTTTACGCCCTCCTGTACCATTTTATGTACCCATTTACACTAAATAGGAATTGTTTTTATCCCAATCTACTTCCAACACATTAATTTATTTTTCTAAAAATCTTATTAACACTCATAACACCTGGCGTCACTTGATGCCCTAAAAAAGGAGCGACACTGTGTCATTCAAGGGTGAAAAGTACCTACATATACACCAGATGTAAAAAGGAGCAAATTATATACATTTGGTAAAAATAATGATGGTAAATAATAATAGGACTAATATTAGAAACTTTGATTTGAAAAATTACTGACAGGTCAACATGCTAGGCTCGGTACATATATAAAAAAAGTTATTAATTTCGACTTACCTTGTTTTAGGACAAGGACAATAAACAGAGCGGTGATAAAACTTTCAAGAAATCGGCACATTTTCTTTTGTAATAAGAGTTATCTTTTCCTTGTAGATATAGATCTGTACAATAACTATAAAACTATCAATAATCCATTTGTTTCAAATTAAAATCTGAAATATGAAATTAAGTTGTTTAATAGGCATTAAATCAAACATCGATACTAACGCATGAATTGGCTGATAAAAGTGCAATATATCTGTGAAGACATTAAGCATAACTTGTCTCGTGCATGATATTCACACCTACTTAGATTTAAGTGTCTGGAAGCATATAGAACTGCATGCACAGCAACAGTCGTCGCTTTAAAATGAAGCTTTCGTTGTAGCTATCCTCTGGGTATAGCCTGATAACCCCATGTTAATGGCGAAGGTCAGAGTCACCACCCCTGTTTAGTAACAGAAGTTTAAGTAAAATTTAAACTGATACGTAGCCGTATTCATTTTTCTTGTCACATTCTTTGTAAATATAGGGTAATTTCAGACCCAGGCCTTGCTCCGGTTAGCTATAAGCAGTGATGGCTTTGTGCACTAAGAATCGTATCCTTATTCGTTCTAGGACTCACGATACCACTTCGTATTTGATGAATTCGCATATCCATCGTACGTAGTACTGTTGTTAATTCGTAACATGGTTGGTCAGTTATAAAAATAATTCTAAATCTATTATGATTTTCATAATAGGTGCAAGACCCAACATTATGTTGCTTGTGTGTTATGATTGTCTTCAATTCTTAGAAATTGGAAGAATCTCAGACAATATTACAACTGAACTCTTCTATAAAACCATTCTATGTTGAACACCTGGTGCCACTGTTTGATTCCATAATTTGAGGTAACTCGATTTTTTCTGAATGGGAATGTATTTAAAGATCTAAAAATCTGATATATTACACACGTCACTGGTATTACATGAACCATCCATTCCAAGACACGTTACTGTGTTTTCGCCACATTGTATGCGATAGCTTATAAGTGGTAATATGACATTGACAACTAGATTAAATAATCTTAGATACATAACATATTACCGAAAATTAAATATAGTTTTCTATGTAACGAATATACACCCCAAGCACCCACGGTTATACGAGAATGGTAAAACAACCCAAGAACGTTTGTTTCGAATTTTTATTTGTCTGTTTCTATAGGTGTTTTGGGGCGGGGTTTTACAACGAATGGATCGACGGATAAATCTCAAATTTTGTTCACAATTGAAAAAAAAATTGTTATCAACCATGCTCTATATTTTCGTTCTCTATATATGATTCTCCTTTATAATGTGAAGCAACGTTGACAAGAATTATATAGTTTAATTAGACATATACCCTGTAAAAGTCAATTCTGCAAAGCGTTGAAGTATGCCCACACAGCAGTTACGTCTCGAAACAAAGATAGCTACATAAGGCAGCTTATCCGAAAGATGTACTTGGATGTTGACCAAAGCTTCTTAAGATTCAGTATGCTTTCAGGAAATCTCGTCTCTATCGAGTTTCGTGTTCACAAGCTTTCCTGGACACGTGATAAATCTCTGCACCAAAAAGTCCCATAATGTTGATCCTCTACAATCACAATGTTTCATACCAATATTATAGTAAACCCAATGTGGCCTCTATCTTCTGAAAATGGCAATATATTTACCACTCAAGGTAGTATAAACTGACGACCTTTAAATGTCATGGAATTTAACCGATTCTGTCTACAAATTTCATTATTTTTTGTTTTCATTAAATATTATATCACTCAAATAATCCAAATTCATTACAATTAAAAACCTGACGGTAGCCCATGTTTCTCTATTGTAGTTGAATAATTTAGTAGTTCCCGGTGTGGATCAGTGTTGGTCACTGTATATACTCTTAGAGTATGAACGGAAGAGTAACGATTTAGAATGTCAATTTCATTTCCCGCTATGCTTAACACCATTTGCACATGTCCATAGTTGCGGTACCAAGAAGAAGATTTTGACTTTTTCAAAGGTGTTTCGTAAAACAACTCAGGGCGTTTCCAATCAGTTTAGTAGATATGTTGCTTGGTTGGTAAATATTCAGATTTGTTTAAATCAAATTGATCCATGGCACATTCTGCCATTTTCTTATTACCGTTTGAACAGTAATTTGTAGGGATGTTGGCTTCTAACCATCTAAGCAAATGCCTTTAAAATAGGTTGACGGATTCCAAGAACGAGCAAGCGTAGACATAGACAGAGCCACTATTAATATATTGATAGCCTTTGCCAACAATTAAACCCATTTAATCGCTTCTTCATCTCTAAACGGTAATTATCAAGAAATTGATTATCATAAAACAATATTTTGTAAGACCACTTTTTATTGTATGCGATCTTATAGCAGGGTCGGGTGAAATTTTCATGGGGCCCCTGGCTAAAAATGTCACTGGCGCTCTTGCATCAGCACTGAAAAGGGGGTATATTTTTGGTCTTTGTCGGTCGCACTTACCAAAATAGAATTTGTATTACAGCATTGACAATTATTATGCCTTTTATGATATTGTTCTTGACCTTCTGAAAAATAGAGTTACTGTTTCCGCAAACCAGATGTCGCGTTGTGGAACATGTATACATGTATAGTTTTGCAGTCTGGAATTACGTCTACCGCCTCACCCGCATTAAACAGTCTCGAGACTCGTGTCTGATTTAAAGGAAGACGATATAAAAGATCTGAAAAGCGAACGTAATAACACAACGGTAATTAATTAGACTTGCTATAATCTAACGACACACCAGGTTTACATGTAGCAAGATAAAATGACTCTTCAGGGGATGACGTTCAATAAGAACCAGCTTAACAAGGTATTTTTGGTTGTCGTTGAGTCTGGGATAGTGGTTTGAAGACAGACGAACAGAACATACTGACCTTGTATAACGTTAATCTATCTTTACCACCTGGCGTGAAGCATGTCTATTTTTGTGCATGTAGATTCGAACAAAATATATAATATAATTAACTAACAAATATATTTTCCAGATAAATTTGATGCACTTGAAAAAGAGAAATAAATGATGTACACATGTCTATTCTTTTCAGTACACTTGAGACCACCTGTCATTGTGGTGATCTTGTGGGGGATTTACATATCTAACCGTTCCATTCACGTAGATGGTCAGGAGTTTAGTATTTGTAAAGTGTTTTAGTTCAAATGCGTACCGTTGGTGGGTTTTTTTTTTATCACTTTCTTAAGGTGTTGAAACATTTGCCTCCCAGCCAGAAGATTTCTTCTTTAATAACACTACTTGTGCGTGGATTTTTTTTTTTTTAAAGAGATCTAAAAAAACGAATAATTCATAAATAGGACAAAGGGCACACCTTTTTTAAATTAATAAGTAAAATATGCCGTATATTATGTGCAATCCGGAACATTATGAAACTTAAAGCGAGAATTTCAAATTTTCTAAGAAAGTCAAAACATAATTATTTCTATGTCTTTTGCTCAATAGGTTATCAACTCACTATTATACGATCATGGGCATTATTTCCCACCCTTAAAAATCTATGACACAGGAAATAACAACACAATTACCTCCCCTGTTTTGCTATTGACAACATGGGGCAGCCATTTTCCAACATTGGAATTTGAAGTTAAAAATGATATTTTTGCCAATTTCTCAGCTGGCAATAGCGAATTATAGGATTAATAGGATTATTCTTTAACAAGGTAGGACTGTTTATGGATACCATCTATTTTAAGGCTTTATTTTAATACATTTTAAAAATATAACTTGAAAATTTGAAATTTCCGCTTTAAATTGTTTCAATGGCATTTAGTAATTGACCTGGAATATACAGGTCACAATTATTGGTTATTACTGAGCGACGTCATTGCTTATTATTTATAATGACTAGAGGAGCCTAGTGGAAACGTCGCTCAGTAATAAGCAGTAAATGTGTTCCATAGAATTGTGACCTGCATATTATGAAACTTGCAATGTATACATATAACATATCATGAACCATATAAGAAATACTACTTATGGACTGGATCTTCTTTATAGTTGCCCTTGGCTCAATGAATGGGAACAACCTCAAACTTTAGATTAATTGGTAAAATAAAAAAGTGATTTAGAAAAAGAAATGAGACAAAATAGAGATTATTCGTTTAATTAGGAATACCCAAAGGTATAATCAATATAATATATAAAAGAAATTAGAAAAAAATTTATAAATAAATAAATAAATCAAGATGCCAAACTCTTTAACCTTGGTTAATTACATTAGAACGAATCCGTAAACTCATTTAACGGTCTACATAAAAAGGACAAACTCCGTAGACTCATCAACGATCAAAATAAAGAGGACAAGATATTTTCATAATGGGTATGGTATCTGATATTCTCTGTAAGCAGATCTCCTCGTCAATTCATCTCTTTTCATTGAATAACTTCAAAAAACGAGTTTGGAAATCCGTATGATGATAGAAAAATATAAAAAGAACATTAAGAACAGCTGAAACATAAATAATCAATCTGTAACCCCAAGTATGATCAAGACATTCTATACCGGACTTGAAGAAGTTTTAAATTAAAAATACTATAACGCTTACCAAACTTTCTTGGTACCATCTCCTAACAAGAATTAAATTTAAAATACTATTAATACTTACATAAATTCAAAATGCTGCTTAGTTTCCAAGAGTTTCAAATATAATGTTCTTATTTAATTAAACACTTGATTCTTAATTGTAAAGATTCTGATTCTCTGGAAGATTTCAATATCCTGCTTTCTTGCAATTGACCCGGTTTTCAACATATTACATGATCCATATCTTCTCGGGTTTATTCACAAAAGTTTTAAACATTTTCTTTCATTAAAATAAAAACAAAACATAATCTAATCTCAACAACCTAGCGCTGATATTTCAAACAAACTGAAATCAATTTTGTTTTTAGTTCAAAGATTTCCATAAAAATCGCCTTTGCACAAGTTTTCCTAGTTATTTTCCAAATAGGATTCATAAAACAAACGTCAGCACTGATTTGAAGACAAAATTGTGCAAATATATTCCAAGGTACTTCATAACACACTTGCCGTGTGCTGAGCCTGATATTGACTAATAGTCTCGATTATCATACAGCA